ATCTGTTAGATGTTTCTTTCTCATTCTGGAGCTGCCTAGAGTTACAATAGCTGGTGTGAGGTAGAGGCAGAGAAAAAGGGTATGTGAAGGTATTTCAATCATTGTATGAACTATTTTGCATGTAAGTGCAGAATGTGTGTGTGTGTGTGTGTGTGTGTGTGTGTGTGTGTAGGAGTGGATCCTGAGCTCTTGTGAACCCCCATTGTACATACATTTTATATGGCATGAATGGCACATCTACCAACGGCTTTGATCTCCGTCTGATATTGATCCCTTTTCTAAAACCAAGGGATTGGGCTTGCAAATGTCTGTTTATGTCAGTGGGTCCAAAACACGGTGGCCAGCTTGTTAACTGGGGCTGGTTACAGGGATTTCTTAGAGTCACGTGACACACACATACACTGTTACAGTAGCTCCACTGTTTGCTGATCCATTTTCAGGCACAATTCACAGTGCTAGTTTTAACCTATAAACCCCTGAACAGCTTGCGTGCAAGCTAAATATAAAGCGTTGCTTATTAAATATTGTACAAAAATAGGAGAAAAAATTTCTACAAAATGTATCACCCCTCTTTTTATGAGCCTGCCTGGGTGTTAAAATCATCAGTGGAGGCCTATCTCTCAGTCCCACCACCTCCACAGGTGCATTTAGTGGAGACTCAAGTGAGGTTGCTGCTCCCAGACTCTGGAACTCCCTCCCTCATGAGGCCAGGCTGGCTCCATCTTTGCTGTCCTTTCTTTTCAGACACTCTTTCCCTTAGTGACTTGCTATCTGAGAGGAGTTTTGAAATGGATTGTTGAGCCTTGTTGCTTTTAAATACATTTTTAGTATTAATTTTATTTACTGTTTTAATATAATGTGTGTTTCATTCTTTTAAGATATTTGTATATTTACAACTTTTCAGTGTTGTCTTTTAACGATGTAAGCCACCTTGGGTCCTCTCCAAGGAGAAAGTTGGGCTGAAAATATTATGAATGAATCAATGAATCAATCAATGAATCAATGAATGATCACAGATTTCATATGATCTATATGTGATGGGTCAGGATGAGGAAATATATACCCCAGATTTACTTCTTACATATCATCATGAAAACAGAAGTAGGGAATGGGCCTAAATCTTTTAGGAAAAGCTTTGCAAGGGGGAAGATTTTTACAGTAGTAGAAGCTGCACATCCTTAAATTCTCCCTGATCAGTGTCTAATAACAGCAAGCTTTCAATGCCGAGAAAACTTGTATACAGGCCTTAGTCTCTGGATCTGCCTCGGGAATTCTAGGGATCATCAAACTTGTATACAGGCCTTTGGATCTGCCTCGGGAATTCTAGGGATCATAGTCCCGAAATTAGAGCTTTTCCAAACTCTAGCTTGCCGAACTCTTGAGCATGGACTGTCCACTTCAAATGCAAAGGCAGCATGGGGGCATAAGAGAGACAGACGCTGCAAAGGGGAAATCATAGAATGAGCAACAGTTGCAACTACTTTTTATTGCTTTCCAGTTTAATACTGGAATTATATTCAGAACTACTCCCTTTTCACCAAGACCTTTATGACCCAATGATTGCTTCTTCAGGTTCTATTTCTTTATTACACTATGCATATGGATTTGGCTTCTTCTCATCCACACAACAGCTCCTTGTTCATTTCCCTTATGCTGCACAGGTAGGCAGAGCAGCAAGACGTATTATGCGCCCTGCCCCACTCTCCCTCGCCTGATTTCTTCCTGATGACTTTTACACAAGGAATATTATGCAGACTATGCGGCTAAAATGGAAATTCATCATAAATTGTGGCGTATTTTCCCCTCCTCATCTGCTTCATTTTTCATATAAGCAAATATGTCAGAGATTGGAGGTTTTCAAAAGTGCACCTGGGATTTTCACTGCCAACTGAAATAAGGCATGAATCCAGCTAAGAATGGTGGGCAAATCTCCAAGTCCTTTGATGCACACTTATTGCCAGATGAATGCCAGTCATGAATTGTTTTCTTTCTTTCTTTCTTTCTTTCTTTCTTTCTTTCTTTCTTTCTTTCTTTCGAAGTAACTCTTCTTTTGAGGCCTTTTTGTTTGGTACGATTAACATTTTTAGGAAATATTGTAACTATATTCATTTTCCGTATTTCTCTTCCATCTACCTTCTACCTTCCTTTTCCTACATGGTAACTAAGGCAACTGGTTTTACAGGTATCATGATTCAGGAAATGTCCCCATGTTCTTCTTTAAAATTCTTTCTAAAATATATTTGAAATATAGTCTTCTATAAATGATGGAGCACAGGCAGGATGTATGATGTGATGCTGTGAATTCTCATTCTTGCTAATAAGTAATGCATTTGTTTTTTGGTGTGATCTTTGCCTCCCTATGCCTTTTACTTGTATACAAGAGTGTAAAATAAAGGCAGTTTTCCCCCTTCTTAGGACTCCTGGGTTTCAAACCTTGGAAAACATTCTGAAAAAGTCCATCGTCCTTAGCTATGGGCTTACAATGAGCTCATCTTTCACTGGAGTAAATCCAAAGTCCAGAAGATCCCTTTGGGAGCAGAAGCATGAAGTATTGATTGAAACTGCAAGGGGAAACTGTGGTATAAGCAATACTGGTGATCAGGAATAATGTCTTTTTCAGGAAAGTGTTTGCAGTCTCTATATGAAACTTCACATGTCCTCTTGCACTGATGGGCAACGGAAGCCTCATTTCTGCAACTTTAGGCTGTGGCTTATTTTTGCCCCTGTTTTCAGTGTGTTATTTTCTTGAGGCTGCTGTTTCCAAAATTAAGTTCAGGCCAAGTCCACACCTGATTTTCTGAGCAATCGAGGTAGCTGAAAAACCCCAACAGGATAGTGTTAAATTGCCAGATGCAGATATACTCTGAAGCTTGCAGAGCTTCTGTGCCAATCTTTCTGGCTTGACTGGAGACTTCTTAAAAAGCTGCACATTACATGGAGAATTACCTCAGTACTCTATTTAGTGTGGTCCTGAGCCTCTTACTGTGATGATTAAAGAATGTTGTGTCATACATGCTGCATAGGAAGAATGGAAAAAACAACAACAACACCTATGAATACCATGATTAGAATACACTTTAATGTAGAGAAAAATTACTTTTGTTAATAAGTATGAAACCAGTTACAAAGGCCTTATAAAAATATGAATCTGAGTCACATATAAGAATAACTTAAGAGCTCCTTCAGGTTATTAGAGAATACATCTGACTTTAGTGGCACCAAAAAGAGTGTCCAGGTAAACATGCTTTTTTAAAAACCTTTCCATTTTTTTCTTCCTGTTTTTCAAATTTATTTATTTACAATACAGTATTTTTTAGCCGCACCATTACCAGTGGCTTCTTCTAAGACTCAGTTGTCATGGAACTAGTCTGTTCGTCGTTTCATGTTCTGTGTGACTATATGTCATCTGCTGAATGCTGGAAAATATCAGAGATGTAAATAGCCAGAGACTATGCAGTGAAACGTCATTGTCACCATTTGTAGAGATTACTTTTGAGCAGTGGTTCCCAAACTGTGTGGTGTGGCACCCTGAGGCACTACCAAACCCAGCCAGGGGAATCATGGAATCTGTGGGAATTCAGGCTGGGCTTTCCCCCTCCATTCCTCCTCTCACCCAGAGTATCATATGGGGGAGCCACTGCCAGTGGCCAGTAAGTCAAAGGATTCATTTTGTGAGTCAAAAAATGTTCGGAACCACTGCTGCTGGGGATTGCATTTCTCCTTTAGCCCCTTGTCTTTGTATTTATATTCCCCTTTATCTTCCATAATTGAAACAGGACTTTGACATTGCTCTCAGTATATTGTTTTGCTGTCATGTATTTTTTTTTTAAAAAAAGTCTGGATTTTTCCATGCCCCACTACACTGCTTCTTGATACTGAATAGTGTTGTGCTCTCATTCATTTTGTGATAACTCAGGTGCTTGTTGCTTTTCTACTCCTGGCATTTGGAGCATAATGTTGCTCTGCACTGTTAATATGCAAGGCAGCAAGATTTCTTTGAAAAGGTCATTAATTCAATGACGCTTTCTTATTTTCCTTGACTGAAAACCCCACCATATTATTCAATAAATGTTGTGGCAGCAATAACTGATTACAATCTAAGCAGTTACCAAAAAATGGCATTAAGGAGTAGCTTTGGAGTTAAAATCCTTTATCGGTCAATCATGATATTTCAGGGGCAGTGTATTGTGATGGCTTAAGGCCAAACAAGAGGTCATAGTAGCAGGTCTATGACTGTGTGGAATGGGACTGGTTATTATCAGGATTGGAGCAGGCAGAGGAACATGGAGCTGTTTTTTCCTCTGCTGTGTCCCCAATGAAAATGTCTCTTTTAAAGCTGTTATTAGCATTGGTAGGTACTTCCCCTGTTCGTGCCAAAGCAGAAGGGATATCAGAAGTGGAGGCACCAGGTGTGAGGGCAAGGAAAAACTAAATTCTCTTTTTCTGCTTATGCTGATCTTGGCAACTTCTGTTCCCACCAATCTGATTCTGATAATTCAGCCGTTATATTCATCAGAGACAGAATGAAATGCTGAATGAAATATCAGTTGTACAAGTGGAATATTGTAACTATTCATTGACCGGTATGGTACATCTATATACAGTAATTTATGTCCTGAGCAAAGATGAATGGAGGGAGAGAAGAGAGAGAAGAGGTGTTTGGGGTGGGGTTGGAAGACTGAGAATTCAGTTAAAATTCAAGAAATCTCTTGTTTTTCTTCTTTTGTCATTCTCCTTTATCTGCACTCATCATTGTAATAGTTCCCTTTCTTTACGTGAGGGTCACTAAAATTTTGCATTCAGGGTTCTGACCTGTTTCTGTCACCTTCTACTTTTTGCCCATGAGAATTCTAAATGTTTCTTCTGTCGTTCATCTAGGTTTTTCTCTCTTTTTTTTCTTTTTATTACAGGAATTGTCTTTTTTCATTCTTCCCTAATAATATCTCTGGGAAGAATTTGAGTGCCTTGCTTAATTCCTTCCATTTCTATTCCAATGACAGTGAATGCTCAAGACAATGAAGACCATGTACCTCTACACTTCTGTTCCCGATTTGGCCATCATGAAATTGTCAAGTTCTTCTTACAAAGTAATTTTGAAGTCCAGCCTCACGTGGTTAATATTTATGGAGACACACCTTTGCACCTGTGAGTAAAGAACAATGGAGGTCATATATTTTAAGTCTGCACTGGTGCCCACCTTCTGTTATTAACCCCTTGCTGACATTTTTATATCCAGTGCATGCTACAATGGAAAATTTGAAGTTGTGAAAGAATTAATTCAGCTTTCTGGAACAGAAAGTCTCACTAAGGAGAACATTTTCAGTGAAACAGCTTTTCACAGGTAAGTCATTTTATATGTTTGCCTCACCACTGCCACAATGTTGGTAACAATAACTGCAAGACTGACCTATATTACTCAGGACAGAAATGGGAAGCAAACAAACAGGAAGAGGAGTTCAGGAACTTGTCTGAAGCTCAGAAGACTGCTAATTGGTTAGTGTCAGAAGACAGTCACATTAGTTTTTGAGAGAAAACTCTGTCCTGCCACTGAAGCCCAGCATCAGGCTGCATGCAAGATTGTTAATTTCTCCAGCGGCCAAAGCTATGATGCAACTAAAAGGGTTTCTTTTCCTCCACTAAAGGTGATATCATGGAGGTAATGTTTGTAATCACTGCAGAGTAAGATAAATACTTTCTATTCATGCAAACTATATGCAGTTGTTAGCAGACTTTCTATTTCATGGATGATGACACAAATTAAGTCTACAGTATTATTGCAGAGAATTACCTTGGCTGTTTATAAACGGCTTATATTTGGCTAAGGGCCAAATTTGGGAGACTCCAGCTCCAATATTAGTAGATGCTGAAACATTATTCCCCCAGAGGTACATTTCTTCAGAGATACTATGTCTACATAATCAACTTGCAAATGAAGCACAATGTTTATTTCTCAAAGATCAATCACCAAATTAAACCAAACTAATTTACAACTTGCAGAGCATAGAAGCCTCATGCTGGGGCAATCAGATAGCTTTTACTATTCTGTGTCAAATTGTTAAGTTAGTGTGTCAAAAAGTTGGCTTATAACTGAACCATGCAGTTCTTCCTCATGGTCTGTGAATCACACATCTGGATTCTTTTTGCATATGTGAGAACAACCTCAGAACCTTCTAGAACCTACAGAAGGTGATAGAACACACTCTCTCTGCCACATATGCTCCCCATCCTGCATCTAATCCCTTTTCACTGCAGCTGAGAAAATACCTTAGGATATTTTCTCAAGCCTTCATGCTTTCTTCTGAGATTTTGTAGAGTTTGTATATAGCTATTACAGTACTTAGCTTTTGTTTCCGTCCATGGAGTTTTCTTGGCAAAGATACTGGAGTAGCTTGCCAGTTCCTGCTCCAGGTAAATCATATTTAGTCAGAACTCTCCACTATGACCTGTCCGTCTTGGGTGTCCCTGCATGGCATAGCCCATAGCTTCTTTGAATTACTTAAGCCCCTTTGCCACAACAAGGCAGCAGTCCATGAAGGGGATTGCTGCAGAGGAACTAGAGACATTGCTAACATGCGCTGGATTATGGAGAACGTCAGAGAGTTCCAGAAAAACATCTGCTTCATTGACTATGCAAAAGCCTTTGACTGTGTGGACCACAGCAAACTATGGCAAGTTCTTAAAGAAATGGGAGTGCCTGACCACCTTATCTATCTCCTGAGAAATCTATATGTGGGACAGGAAGCAACAGTTAGAACTGGATATGGAACAACTGATTGGTTCAAAATTGGAAAAGGCTGTATATTGTCTCCCTGCTTCTTTAATTTATATGCAGAATACATCATGCGAAAGGCTGGACTGCAGGAATTCCAAGCCGGAATTAAGAGTATCGGAAGAAATATCAACAACCTCAGATATGTAGATGATACCACTCTGATGGCAGAAAGTGAGGAGGAATTAAAGAACCTCTTAGTGAGGGTGAAAGAGGAGAGTGAAAAAATGGTCTGATGCTCAACATCAAAAAAACTAAGATCATGACCACTGCTCCCATCGCCTCCTGGCAAATAGAGGGGGAAGATATGGAGTCAGTGACAGATTTTACTTTCTTGGGCACCATGATCACTGCGTATGGTGACAGCATATTAATCAAATTTCTGACGAGGAGTTCTCCAATGACTCAATGTCCATTTTTGTGACAATTCCAAAGTTGAATCAGGGGGAATACCTCCGAAGAGTTCAGATCCTATTCTGATCTGGTTCTCCATATGGCCAAGTCACTGCAATTGGAAGTCCAGCAGCCACTCTCACCTAAGTAAATCCCTGCCTATGACTGCATAAATAAGAACATTTATACTCCCGTCCACGTTGGTATTTTCTCTTGCCTTCTGGAATCATGGCAAAAGCTGTCTATTTTACCCCCAACATTGAAGCAAGTAGAAAATCTCTACAAAATACATGACAAAGAAGCCACCTTCCTTCTGAAACACCCACAGCCCAGTTCAATTATCGTGGGGGGCATCTCAGATGGGATCCAAATGGCTGCCATAACAGAACATAAAACGACAGGGATTGACAAAAATGGATTGGGCATGATTCCACTGCTACCCTCGGAATCAAAGTCACAAACTACCAAGTGGCAATGCGGACATACCACTTATTTGTCTGCTATCAAATCCAACCTCTTCTTAACAGGATACCAGAAGGTAAAAACGTGTTGGCCCTAACTTTCCAACAGGAGACCATCACCTTGGCAGTTCAGGAAATGTGTGCCCTCATCATGCAACCAGCTGTACTACAGAAAACATGGCTGCAGCAGTAGTGCTCAGACATTATGCTTTGTTGTCAGCAAGTATTTTGGGAGAATCTAGATCATGCATCAAGGACTTACAATTAAATGGTAAGGGCCTCTTTAACAACAAAACTCATTATATTGGATAATCTCTATAAGAATCACAGCTAAACACATGGGCCTTTCATTACAATCCAATCCAAGATCCTACTGACTTACTGGAGGTATCATTACCTTTCTTTTTCTACCCTGTACTCCTCAGATGAACACAAGCCCTTTCCTATAACCTCTTCCTAGTACTTCAGACAACCTGTTCAGAAATCCAAATATAGCTCCACCAATGTTTCAAACATCACAATAAGAAATTCAAGCAGCAGCTTTGACGTCACAGATGCTGAGATCCGTAGCCCTCCAATTACTCATCATTGCAACATCCCATCACTAGCACTTCAATACCTATCACCCTGTCATCAATGATTACTTGGTCCTGATCATAGTTGACCATGGCTATGTTACAGAGTTCACATCTCTCTCTTCCAGCAGGCTATTTCAGAGCTACAACACCATCTCAGGTTCTGGAAGAAGAGGTAGCCAAGCTCCTCCAGAGAGATGTCATATAGGGGATCTCTCTCAATTCCCATGATAATGGCTTCCACTTCCATTATTTTTTTTTTTGTCCTTAAAAAGGGCAGGGGTCCGAGACCCATACTAGATCTAAGGGAAATGAACTCTTACATAAATGCTAAAATATTCAGGATGGAGATACCAACAACAATCTTATCAATCCTCAAAAAAGAAGACTTGTTTGCTGTGATAGGCATCAAGCTTATTTCCATGCTTATTTCCATGTTTCAATCCATTTGGATGCCTAGCATTTCCTATGTTTTACTCTCAGGAACAAGATTTATGAATCCAAAGCAATCCCTTTTGGTCTATCAATAGCATCCAGAATTTTCACAAAGCGTATGGCACCAGTGGCAGTTTATCTCAGAATTCAGGGCATAAATATATTTCCCTACATGCCTAATTGGTTGACTGTTGCAATCTTGAAGGGAAAGTTGGGAGGAAATATGGCTTTCATACTATACCTTCTGTCACATCTCAGCCCTTGTTTCAACATCAAAAAGTCACATTTGACAGCAAATCAAAATATCAGAACAGTACTAAAATCAGAAAAGACAAGAGCTTACCTACTTCAGGACAGGATAGACAAGCACCTAAACTTGACATGCAAATTCAAACTGAACGCATCAGTCATGATGCACATGACTGAGAGACTTCTTGGTGTCATGGCATCAATTATATCAGTAGTCCACATGCCCACTTTAAGATGCAGTCCCTTCAAACATGGTAATCTGGCATCGTTCAATATCCTGACAGAGAGCAGCAACAAGAGACTAGTCATCAGCAAGAAGTTAACACACACAAACACATACACACACATACATATAAAACTATTGCAAATAGCAAGAATACATTTGGAAGGCAATGGCAAAATGCATTTATGCTAGCAAAGTTTATACATTGCATGAATATGTATATTGGTTACATTACAAGCCAATTGATCTGCTTTGTTCTAAACTAAACAACAACAGCTATAGCTATAGCTATAGATATGAAAAGATTCCATTATATGTGACAGTGGGATGCCATATGCCAGCTGTTTGGTCTGACAGGCTCTGTGCCATGTGTGGCTGGCACTTTTCTACACAAAGGCTGTTTGTCCTCTGTCTCCCAGAGTGAAAGACAGGTGGAAGCTGTGGGGAGGGTGGACTGGTGTCCATTCTTTCACATTGGGGGAGGCAGGATCATTTAGGGCACAGCTGTTTAGGGAGGTTAGTTCTGCAGCAGATAATTCTTGGAGGTGAAAGAGGTAAGGGGACCCCCGCCCAACCCAGTCTTCTAGACTTTTTTAAGTTAAAAAAGAAAAACCTACAGAGTAAATAATCACAGATCATTGAATGACATGTAGGGTGAGACGCAATTTCATTTCCTCAGCAGTAAAATAAGAATAACACAGCTTCATGCTGGTGGGTGAGGATGTGAAAGATACAACCTGAGAAGCATTCTGTACATGGAATATGCTGTAAAAATGGTAATTAATGTGGTAACATTTATTCTGATCTCTCAAAACATCTGGTAAGTATTGCTTATTGAAGTGTGCCAGCAATAAAGTCTGCAGTTGAGTTTGTTGACATCCCCCATAATGATAAAGCTTTCCCAAGAATTCTTTGTATTTCTGCAAAGACAGTGATACTTCCATCTGTTATGCAGCATATGAGAAGGCGAATAATGGTGGGAGGGAATGCAAATATTTATCATGACGGTCTGTTTCCCGTGTAGGAGTTTAAAGTTAATAGTTTGCAAAACTTCCCATAGTTATGGAATAGTACAGTGACAGAATGTAGTGAGAAGGAGGATATTTTATCGTGTGTCAGTATTTATTTGCTTGTCTATTAGTATATGTATATTCCGCCTGCTACTACATTCCCAATGCTCCAGACAGCTGGCAACAGCTAAAAAGCATGCAATGATTTCAAAAAACAAATAAATAC